AATCAACTAATCAGAATCTTTCCTTTCCTCCCATTCCATGGAAAAGAAAAATTTTGATTGGTTGATTCCTTTATGCACTATGCATTATGCGTTATGCAAGAGTGTGTGCTGCGGCCTTTATGCGCTATGCAAGATTTACCGAACGAGAAGTGGGGATGGAAATAAGGGACTCTGATTGGTTGATTCGCTTATGCACTATGTCTTATGCATTACGCAAAAGTCTGTGTCGCGGCCTTGTGTCTGGGCTCTTAAGGCCCAGTTTCACAACTGACGGTTAATTCTTAACCGAGGTTCAACTCATTCATTATCTCTTTTCAATTCTAGAATTGGAAAAAGATGAGAAATAAGTTGAACCTCAGTTAACCGTCAGTTGTGAAACTGGGCCTAAGCAAGCGGACGAAGTGACTTAAGGTGCGTTCCCTAACGCGCATAATGCGCATGATGCATCCATTGTCCTTGTTTAACATTTGGTGAGCAACAAGGACAAACGACGCATTATGCGCATCATGCGAGAAACGGAACGCACCCTTAATAAAAAGTGGACGCTCAAGATGGCCACTCAAGGGCGCCAATATTGAATATTTTTTCATTTTAATAGGATGGCGATACTGGAAATACCTCAAAAGTTACTGCGATTATTAGATATAATACAATATTATTTAAAATATAATTTCCAAGATAATTTACTTGGTAACTGTATGCTTCATTCATAATTTTTATCAGCGAATTATCTTGTGCTTGAGATTCAAGACGATTGAACAAGTACAACCAAAATGTAATAAATAGGTTTTAATATTAAAACATTATCACTTGTTGCGAGAAATTTATCATAAAAAGTTTATCCCTTGTCACTATTTTAAAGCAATCATAAAAAGTTAACCCCTTGTTACTATTTTAAAGTAATCTTAAATTGTTATTAGTATTTTAAAAAAAATTTTATGAAGCAGGCACTGAAGTAGCAAATATTGAAACTAGAGAACTGAAAAAGATACAAGATGTAATTTACAAACGATAAATCCAACTTTAATTATGGATCTATGGAGCAGGATCGGTTTTAGAACATGCAACGAAGTTTTGGAATAGATTTGAATACAGTTCATATTTAATCAGGAAATGACAATTGAAAGAAATAAGTAACTTTATTACGTAATAGATTGTAAAATAATGTAAAAAAATTCTATTATCACATATTGTTATAATATTTTATCTTTTAAATATAATATCTTATCCTTATAATATAATTGTTAATCTTATCAATATTTATTGTCCATTAAATAATATAAATTTCGTATTTTATTGCTTGTGCTTATGCTGTTACACGCATACTTAATTCTTAAATTAAAGTAAGTTTTGGTAATCAATTTTATCAATAAGTTTATATGATTTTCTAACGGATTATCGTCCATTGCAATTGGTCTTTAACAGTCTCTTCTAAAAAGCATGGAGAAGACAAGCTATTATTTATTTGATTCTCTGGTTTTTTACTCGAACTTGGACAATTCAAAATATCTATTTAACTCAATGGAACACAATTACCAAGACCACCTTCACGAATCACAGCATAAATAAAGAGTTTCTTGTAAGCAGCCATAAATCGGCGACAAGTAGGATTATTGTAGTCTCCATGCGATCTTATTGATCCAAAAAACAGTTCAATATGATCTTGGCTGCATTTATAGACAGGCAAAAATTTAAGAGATGGATTTTCACAATTAATGTGTATATATTTATGTCATAAATATTTACGATCGATTGTAAACATACAGCGAATCCGATAAATCATGTTTTCCTATTCGACTCGATAATTCGTTGTCAGTTATCAAACTTTAAGCCCAAAATATATTTATTGAACTGCAAAATCCTTTATTGACTCTATACTTTATTCACATACTGCTTTTTTGAAACCAAATCCAGACAATTTATGCGAATTTAATATATCATAAGCGTCATTCATGATTATAATAAAATTTAGTTGCATCGCAGTTCTTAAAATCGTTAAATTGTTTTTACAAAATATCAATGAATCTGCCACGGATCTACTCAATAATTATATTGCAAGTTTAACTTTCATTTTTTATTTAAAAAATTGAATGTGCTGCCTTCTTAACTTATTTCCTAAATGGAGACCTTCAGTTTCCTGCAATTCACATAACTTAATAAAAAGCATAATTGATAATATCACCGTTCTCGTCGATTATTATTTTTTTATCTCCGAAAGTGTTTTGCACTAACTTTATCATATGAGACGGATCTGGCAATATTTGCACTGTATGATTATCACTTTTGAAACTGATTTCCATATTTTGTAAGTTTAGCGAACATCCAAACAAATTGGCCATTACAAAATTAGCTTGACGACCATCAAAAGTTAAAATTGTAACATTTACACCACAATCAAAAAGCGCTTTCAAACACTGTAACCAAATTCATTTCTTGAGTCTCGTTGAGCCCATTTATGAAAAAATATTCTACAGAGCATTTTCAAGTATCATTAATAGCAACAATTGTGAAAACAAAAGCTTCTCGTACAATATTTCTATTATGATCTAGTGAAACTCTGAAATCTATATATCCGTAGTATTTTTTACCATCAAATTCTATTTTATGTCTTCTCTCTCTTATAGCTATTTCATTCATTATTAATGCACACATCTGTCGTTCAGAACTTTTCGCTTTTACTTCAATCATTTCCAGAGCTTCTACAGATAATCCCAATGATGCGTTAACTGTTGAATACCACTTAGATAATGTCTTGGAATGTGGCAAACAGTTATTAAATTTCTTTCGCATATAATTATACGCTTTTCCTAAAAAAAAATGGAGCATTATAGCAAACTTTCTTATTTCCTCCTGATATTGTTTTTGAACAATGCTTTTTGTCATTTTTTGAAATAACCTATTAATTAGTTGTTTATTTGGTCCAAACTCCTGCATTATTGTATAAACGTTGTCATTTGATACCAAGTTTTGTTAAATAAGTTCGTTTATAATGGATTTTAATTTGAATATTTGTTTTCGCTGATTCCAATTCTTTTTCTGCAATTTTCTGATAACATTCGATTTATCAGCAAGTAATCGTCCTAATGATACAATTTTTTTCTTTAATGTAACTTCCTTCGATGTATCACTTGGCAAAATTTCCAATGAAACATCAGTTTTATGGCTAATTATGTCCAAGTTAGTAGAAGGCAACGATTCTATGTCAATATTTCTGTTAGATAGTTGAAATTCTATATCAACATTTGTTTGCTCGATGAGTTGTGACTTACTCATTTGTAAAATATCATTGACAGTTGACTTTTCCATAATCATAAAAATATCCATATTAGAATTACAATTAATCGATGCTATATCTGTCGACGTGTTAGTTGTCCTGTTCGTTAAAGATGTTTCATTGATACTTTCTGTCTGTGAACATATTGATGCGTCAATTTTTTCCTGCAAAAAGATAAATTATTGTTACTCATTAAATACTATTATGGAACATCTTTGTTACTGCATGATGTTAGATATGGTTTTTATGACATTTACTAATGTAAGTGGAATGTTAATCTGAAACAAGTTAACTGATTTTCTTCAGTTACTTTGCAGATAAATTCATATCAAAATATTATTGCATACAAAATTATATATAATAATCTATACAATGTAATATAAATATAAAAAATGTAACATATATATTAATATATAAGCACAAAAAAATATATTCTATAATTTTTCAACTTACATATTTTGATCTTAAAACATGTATTGTTGGCATAGAAAACGGTTTCAAGCGAACTTTCATAGCTGATGTTCTGTCAAAACATGATTCGTCGAAATGTTGCGAACAAAGCGTAGTATAATTTACACTTTTGTCTAATCTTTTGTCCTTATTACAAAAATTTATCCAGGCACATTTTTGATTTTCGTTTTTAGGAAACCTGTTTGTGAAAAATTATTTAGTAATTATATGTATGAATCTACGATTGTACAATAATATACATCAATATACATATAATAGAATATAACCTCCAAAATATACAATTCTCATTATTACTGATAATACTAACCGATGAAACGTTATCCCATAATTTCGAGCTGAAGTTGTTACACCACACGCCCGGCAATGCACCATGGTGCTTTTTATAATATTTATTAATAATAAACTATTTTGTAGCTCAATATATTTTTCCTGTTGAAACTTGTATATCATAAAAAAAAGTGGACGCTTAAGATGGCTGCCATAATGTACATCCGTCGGCCGTCCGAGGATTTAGCTACCCCCACTATTAGGGCCTGCGCACAATAAAGGAACAAGAATTAGATATTAAGATTTCAACCTATCAGAAATCGTGTATTCCGATGTAATCAGTTTCTGATATGTTGAAATCTTAATATCTAATTCCTGTTCCTCTATTGTGCGCAGGCCCTTAAGGCCCGTCTACAATACACGGAGTAAGAAGTAAGCGTAAGAAATTGACCAATCGGGTGTCGTCTACAATACACGGAGTAAAAAGTAAGAGTAAGAAATTGACCAATCACAGTCGATTATTCTTCTCACATTCGACTGTGAGTGGTCAATTTCTTACTCTTACTTCTTACTCCGTGTATTGTAGACAGGCCTTTAGGCGACCACGTCTCGATTGGACACTACCAATCACAGCGACCGGTGCTTAGGAGCTTTGTAGTCTCAAGCGCTGTGAGTGGCTCGTGTACAATTGAGCCGTGTCCAACTGGGTGCCATCCCTGTTTAGGTATATCATAGTACATAACCCGTACCGTATCAATACGGCGTACCATTATCGACAGAAGAGAGACTGTGGAGACCTCCAGTCGAAGACGATATACATGATAACTGGTACTGCGAAAGTACAGCTTATCCGATTGCATACCGCCATTTACCATGCATGACTTCTGAAATCGTCTGGAAACCGCTGCACTTCGATGATACACGAACACCTATATAATCATGGACGTATAGCTGTGATACATCTGTTCAATATATTGCACGAAAAATTCTGAGAAAAGATTTTCTGAGAAATTTTTTAATTCGTATAAAAAATGTGAGAAAATTATAAAATTATAGAGAAATTCTGAAAAATTATATAAAGATTCTAAAAAATTATATGAAAAATTCTGAGAAAAATTTTCACCAAGGTCCCGGTAAAAAATTTTTCATGCATAACTATGTATAAATATGTATAAACATATACACAAACATTCATATATATATTTCGTCGGGTCCATTCAAAAAGGATCCCGAAGTCCGGAGAAGGTAATTGAAGAATACTGATATTATCGACAATTGATATAAATTTGCGATTATTAACATAAATATACCCAGATAGCAAAATACCTCCACGGTATTAGTACGGTGAGCGTACGGCGTACTATGCGTGCCGATACCGTACCTGTCAGGTACGTGCGTACCTAAAGGGTACAGTACCGGTACACCGTATTTTTAGTACGCCGTACCGATAATGTACGCCTTAGGTACGCATGTTATTAAAATTAATTAATTTTATAGTTTTATTGCTAAAATGAGTATTATTATTGATTAATTATCTTATTCTAGAGTACACATCATAAAATTATGATGAAAAAAAAAAATTTTCCCTGAATTCGGGAAATAATTTCATAGCACTTCGAAGCGGTCTCACCCATCCGATTGCATACCGCCACTTACTATTCTTGACTTCTGAAATCGTCTGGAAACCGCTACACTTCGATGATCCACGAACACCTGTATAATTGTGGATGTATAGTTATGATATATCTGTTCAATATATGGTCCTGATAGAAATTTATGCACTTCAACTGAACATTCAGTCAGTTACTGTCTAATATTTAATTTTAATGTTATAACAACTATTTTCAGGTTAGGCAATCATACGCTGTACTTTCGCAGTACCAGTTATCATGTATATCGTCTTCGACTAGAGGTCTCCACAGTTTCTCTCCAGTCGATAATGGTATACCGTATTGATATGGTACGAGTTATGTACCATGACGTACCTAAATAGG